GAAGTTTCCAGAGTGCTCGGTGGGCAACGCCAGGCACCTGCCTCTGAGGAGCTCTTGGAACATCAGGAAGCCAAGAGGTGCAGGCAGGAAGATGGTGGTGTACAGGGAGGGGCTGCACTGGGGAAGAGATGACGGACATGGCCCGGCAAAGCCACAGAGGCCAAGATGACATGGGCACCGTGTGTCCACAAAAGACAGACCAAGTCGAGAGAGGAACAGGAGGTAAGGGACACAGGGTGAGGTGCGAGGTCACAGTTTAGCACCCAGCTGTGCCATTTACTGGCTCCATGGCCTGGGAGAGTCACGAGGCATCAGTGTGCTGCTCCCTCTTCCTCCTGCCGTGGACAGGCCCATTGATGGCGCCTCCCCCAAGGGAGGGTCAAGTGGGGCCTTGCACATGAAGTACTCATCTTAGGGCTTGGCACACAGCCAGTGCTAAATATAGCCTAAGGCAAATGCAGCCCACGCGAGTTGGAGGTTGTGATGTTGGCCATAGAAGCAGATGAAGGCTTTGGCCAGTGCTGACATGATCTAAGCCAGCCTCTCTCGAGCCCCTTGTGGGGGTGTGTCAGGCCAGTTGGAGCGGCCGACTGGGACACAGAGATAGCCTGGGTGAGGGATGCTAACCAGATGCCAGGACGATGAGTCTTGCAGCCCCAACAAGCTGGGCCCTAGGCAACCCCTCACCTGCCACGCTACCCTTCTCCAGCCGGCATCTGTCTCAAGTGCACGGTCATGAATAGAACACAGGCTGGTCATAGGCAAATTATGGGCAGATCATGGGCAGGTCACAGGCAAGTCATAGGCAGAGCCTGGGCAGGTCACAGGCAGACCATGGGCAGGTCACAGGCAAGTCACAGACAAATCATGGGTGGATCCTGGGAAGGTCATAGGTGCTTCTTCCATCTGCCCCTCTTGCCCAGGCTCCCGTTTCACTGTAAGAGCCCAGGTTGAAGAGCCCAGGTCTCTGGTCTACCATTTCCCTCCTTAACAGAAGCAAATCCACCCCCTCATCCTAGCCCCATCCTGTGGTCATGGTCAACCTCATAGTACATCCATTTGCGGCCATACATTATTTCACTGCTGGAACATAAAGCCCTTGAAGGCAGGCCCACATGTTGGCCATTTTTGCCTCCTTCATGGGACAAGGTCAGCAGGTATCCCATGAAGGGCTACTGACGACATGATGAAAGGATTACTGAAAAGCCTCTGTTTGAAGGACAAAGGTCTGGAGGACAGCCCCAGTACCTGGGTGAATCAATAAGACTGTGGTATCCGATGGCTCTGGGTTTTGGAATAAGCTGCCCCCAGCTCCCCAGAATCCCATAGAATTCTGCAGAATCCCCCTTTCTTTCTGGCAACTCCAGAAAAAGCTATATAAATTTTCTGTCAGAATTTCCGCTCTGTAAAATGGGACTGGGAATATTTCCTCCCATGCGTGGGTCTGTGCGTTGGAAGAGGTGGTGCAGAGCCTGCTGCGCCGCATCAACAGCTGGTGTTCTGCACAGACCAGGCAGCCGGAGCACGTGTAGGACCAGCCATCCATTCCAGCGGCTGACATCCCGAGAGCAGGTGTCTGCCTCTGTCACACCAGTGGTAGTGGCTTCTCACTGGGTCCCAGTTACTGCAGGTTAAATCCAACCCCAGGGAAAGGGGCATAATGGTGATTTTTATGTGGCAATGTGGCTGTGCAGTCTTGAGGCAGAATTGCTGCTTCTCAGGGAAATCTCAGTCTTTACTCTTAAAACCTTCATCTGACTGGATGAGGCCCACCCATATTACGGAGGGTACTCTGCTTACAGTCAATTGATTGAAACGTTAAGCACTTCACAGACGCAACATAGAAGCCCTGCCTGGCAACAATAAATAGCTTACCAACGAAAAAGAGCCCTGTAATAGACGGATTCACAGATGAATTCTACCAGAGATACAAAGAAGAGCTGGTACCATTTCTGCTGAAACTATTCCAAACAACTGAAAAGGAGGGACTCCTTTCTAAATCGTATTATGAGGCCAGCATCATCCTGATACCAAAACCTTGCAGAGATACAACAAAAAAAGAAAACTTCAGACCTATATCTTTGATGAACACCAATGCAAAAATCCTCAGTAAAATACTGGCAAACTGAATCCAGCACACATCAAGAAGCTTATCCACCATGATCAAGTGGGCTTCATCCCTGCGATGCAAGTTTGATTCAACGTATGCAAATCAATAAATATGATTCATCACGTAAACAGACTAAAGACAAAAAACACATGATTTATCTTAATAGATGCAGAAAAGGCCTTTAATAAAATTCAACACCCCTTCATGTTAAAAACTCTCAATAAGCTAGGTTTTGAAGGAACATACCTCAAAATAATAAGAGCCATATATGACAAACCCACAGCCAATATCACAGTGAATGGGCAAAAGCTGGAAGCATTGCCCTTGAAAACTGCCACAACAAAAGGATGCCCTCTCTCACCACTCCTCTTACACATAGTATTGAAGTTCTGGCCAGGATAATCAGGCAAGAGAAAGAAATAAAGGGTATATTCAAATAGGAAGAAAAGAAGTCAACCTATCTGTATTTGCAGATGACATGATCCTACATCTAGAAAATCTCATTGTCTCAGCCCAAAACTTCTTAAGCTGATAAACAACTTCAGCATAGTCTCAGGATACAAAATCAATGTGCAAAAATTGCTAGCATTCCTATACACCAAAAGGTAAGCTGAGAGCCAAATCATGAATGAACTCCCATTCACAACTGCTACAAAAAGAATAAAATACCTAGTAATATAGCTAACAAGGGAAGTGAAGGACCTCTTGAAGGAGAACTACAAACGACTGGTCAAAGAAATCTGAGATGACACAAACAAACCATTCCATGCTCATGGATAGGAACAATCAATATCATGAAAATGGCCATACCACCCAAAGCAATTTACAGATTCAATGCTATTCCCATTAAACTACCACTGACATTTTTCACAGAATTAGGAAAAAATCTATTTTGAAGTTCATATAGAACCCGAAAAGAACCAAAATAGCCAAGACAATCACAAGCAAAAATAACAAAGCTGGAGACATTACACTAGCTGACTTCAAACTATACTACAAGGCTGCAGTACCAGCATGGCACTGGTAAAGGGACAGACACACAGACAAATGGAACTAAATAAAGAATGCGGAAATAATTTAACAAACCTACAATTGCCTGATCTTTGATAAACCTGACAAAAACAAGCAATGAGGAAAGGAGTCCCTATTTAATGAATGGTGTTGAGAGAACTGGCTAACCTTATGCAGCAAATTGAAACGGGACCCCTTCCTTACACCACATACAAAAATCAACTAAAATGGATTAGGATTAAAGACTTAAATGTAACACCCTAAGTTACAAAAACCCTAGAAGAAAATCTAGGCAATACCATTCGGGACATAGGCACGAGCAATTGTAACAAAAGCAAAAATTGACAAATGGAATCTAATTAAACTAAAGAGCTTTTGCACAGCAAAAGAAACTATCATCAGAGTGAACAGACAACCTAAGAATGGGAGACAATTTTTGCAATATATGCATCTGACAAAGGTCTAATATCTAGCATCTACAAGGAACAAATTCACACACACACACAAAACAAAGAACCTCATTAAAAAGTGGACAAATCACATGACTGGACACTTCTCAAAAGAAGACATACATGAGGCCAAAAAATAAATGAAAAAAAGCTCAACATCACTGATCATTAGATAAATTCAAATCAAAACCACAGTAAGATACCATCTCACACCAGTCAGAATAGCTATTATTAACACATCAGAAAACAACAGATGCTGGCGAGGTTGTGGAGAAGAAGGAACACTTTTACACTGTTGGTGGGAGTGTAAATGAGTTCAACCCTTGTGGAAGACAGTGTGGTGGCTCTTCAAAGACCTAGAGACAGAAATACCATTCGACCCAGAAATTTCATTACTGGGTATATACCCAAAGGAGTAGAAATTGTTCCATTATAAAGACACATGCACGTGTATATTGATTGTAGCACTATTCACAATACCAAAGACATGATCAACCCAAATGCCCATTAGTGATAGACTGGATAAAGAAAATGTGATATATATACACCATGGAACACTATACAGTCATAAAAAGGAAGAAGATCATGTCCACCGTAGGGACACGGATGGAGCTGAAAGCCATTATCCTTAGCAGACTAATGCAGGAACATAAAACCAAATACTACATTTCCTCTCTTGTAAGTGGGAGCTGAATGATGAGAACATACGAACATGAGGTGGAGGGGGGACGACACACACTGGGTCCTGTCGGAGGGTGGGGGATTGGGGTAGGGGAGAGCATCAGGAAGAACAGCTAATGGATGCTGGGTTTAAAACCTAGGTGATGGGATGATCTGTGCAGCAAACCAGCATAGCACACGTTTACCTATGTAACAAGCGTGCACATCCTGCACAATTTCGAACTTAAAATAAAAGTTGGAAAAAAGAAAAGAAAAAGAAAGAAAAGAAACTCTGCTTGAGGCGCCAGGCCGCTGTCCTGTGGAATTTGAACTAGAGGCTGCAACATCAACGTTTACCATATCTCCAGCCCGCCGGCCTGCCCTCCAAATTCCCAAACTGCCAGCCTCCACAATCCTGAGAGCCAATTTCTGAAAATAATTTCCCCTGCATCCCCCGCCCCACCAACCCTCTTGATGTCCTACTCATTCTGCTTCTCTGAAGAAGCCTGACTAATAGGAGTTGAGGTGGCACGGGGAGGTCCCACCTCCTTTTAATTAAATGCAGCAGGAAGCCACCATCACCAGCTGCCACCATCTCCCCTGCAGCCTCCCCTTTACTCAGGGGCACTTTCTTCTAGGCCATTTCTAGTTTTCTCCTACAGTCTAGAGCCCCATTTCCTCCGCTTTGAGACCCGTCTCCCAGTATGTTTGTTCCATCCTTTGATTTCAGAAACTAACCTTGTGAAGAATCATGAGGTAGTTCAGAAGCACACTGTACAATATAAACTTTATTATAAAGCTTCAGCAAATATAAATATCCAGGTGCCCCTTCCGAATGGAGCCACAGCGCCGGACAGGAGAACAGCAGCGGCACTGAGGATGGTGGGGGTGGGGGGGGCGTGCCGGAGACGCCGGCAGATTCCCACCCAAACACCCGCGGCCTGGCTTCCCACCTGGCATTATAGAAATGGCCAGATTCACCAAAAGAAAAGAAAAGAAAAGAAAAGAAAAAAAAACAGATTAAAATCTCACAACACACAAAAACAAAACACAGGACTCTAAGGTTATTGTCACATCGGCTGTGTGGCTGACGTCTGCTATAGCAGAACCGTAACTCTTCTCAGGATGGTAGGGTTTTGATGTAACCTATACTTCCGATCTGTCATTTACAAAGAAAAGCATGAAGAAATGGGGTTTTAAAAGGACACTCACTTGCAAATAACTGAGAAAGATAAAACATACAATATAAAAATCTCTCCTTCAAGGCATGAATCTGAAAGAGATGGAAGCACCTTAGCAGGAATTTCATTTTTCCCATTTCCATAGGCAAAGTCCCAAATCAGAATGCAGTCCCCTGGCCCTAGAGATGATGCTGGCTCAGGCGGTGGCTCCAGGTTCCTAGTAAGAGATGCTCAGCAGCTGGAGAGGAGGAGGAGGAGCCTGGGCAGCCTCCTGGAGCTCCCCTGACCTCCACTCAGGAAGTTGGTCACTCCTGATGGCTTGAGGGGCCTCCCCAGTGGGAGGGGAGGCTGGTGAACTTGGGGGCAGATATTTTGTATGTGTTCCTTATTTCATGGCCTTTCCTTCTTTTTATAAGGCGCCAGACATTAAGCAAGTTCAGCCCCGCCTGTCTTTTTGACTTGATTTCGCTGCAGTACAGGCAGGGGTGAGAGCTGCCTCTCCCGTTGTGGAGCCTGCCTTCTGCCTCACGAGCCACAGCTGTGCCTGCCAGGGTGCCACATTTCAGCCTAACAGGAGAGGCTGTGTGTGCGGGGACACAGGTCTGCACGCAGGCTCACGGTGAAACGTGCATACATACACTCCTGGTCAAAGAGCCTAACACGGTTTTCTTCTTTTGGCTTTGATCTTCCTTGGATGTATTCCGACACAGATTGCACAGCTCATTGGTGGGAAATTTCCCTGCCACACAGCCACTTTCTCTGCCGTGGAAAGCTGTCCTGACTCACAGGTTGGACTTGGAGCAGGTCTTGCAGCACTGCTTGCCGTAGAACTTGTGGCTGCACACCCCGTGCGGGGGCACCAGGTAGCACCAGCGGAAGTAGTCTTTGCAGAAGGCATCTGAAAATGAGCAGAGCTGCATTACTCAGTGATCCCGAGCGCAGTGGCTGATGTTCAGCTAATAGCTCTGTTTGGCAAATAAAAGCGTATTTGTCACACTCCGCGGCTGCTGCACAAAGGCAGCCCCCAGGTCTGAGGCGGGTCCTGTGGAACACATTATTTTCACAAGACCCTTCTTGGAAGCTTCCTGCAAAACTGAACTTTTCTTCTTGTGCTGAACCCACTCACTCAACCATGCATCTACCCATTGGAGTCTCTGTTGACTGAATTTCAATTCTCCAATCCTCTGGTTGAGCCAAACCACTTGCCTTCCTCGAGTCACATTCTCTCTCAGAATAGCCTTAACGGGCACCTGGCCATCTGTCTCTGCAATGCTGGGGGAATTTCTGTGTGCACAGGGATGGCATTTAGAGGGCACCCAGTTAATAAGGGAGGTTTTTGTTTAACCTAGGGAGAGAAGCTGCTTTAGTTAAGATTGATTCTTTAAATACAGTGAACAACATTGATATAGGAAAGAAGTCATGCTTATGTCATGACCATCTATGTTGTCCTGGGGTGTCATGAGAGGCAGCAGGGTCAGCTTTATGGACCATTTCATTGTAGAACTGGAGAAGATGTAAAGAGAGAAAAGGTAGGTCAGATGTAAGACCCTAACTCCAGGCCCTCCAAGGAACTGCTCCAGAAACCTGACATTCCAGCCCCATGCCCAGGCCATGCTGAGGGGCCCCAGGCACTCACCTTTCTTCTCTGCAATGGGGCAGAAGTGAGTGTTGCAGGCCAGGGAGGCCGAAGGCTTCTGGTGCAGGAGGCAGCCTGAGGCCGGCCGGCCCCCCACCAGGCACTGCACGGACCTCGTCTGAACGCCACCCCCACAGCTGGCTGTGCACTGCGAGAGCAACACACACATGTCACCATGGCCCCAGGCTCTCAGGCACCTGGTTAACCTCGGTGTGCCCACGTTTCTAAGAGGCCCGCTGCTGCAGGCCAGTGAGGGAAGAGTGACTTCCATGGGGAAGAGGGCCTCGTAGAGGCAGGTGGAGTTACGGTTGGCCAGGATGCGCGCGAGCGAGCCCCATCCCTGCTCACCTTTTCCAAAAGCAAGCACCAGGCATGCACTCAGCCAGGCCTCAAGCAAAGCATTCTAAACCAACCAGCTGACATAGCTCCTGGAACCCTTCCTGTTGTTCAGATAGAAGACAGCCTTGGCCAGTGACAGGACTTGCTCAGGCTGGGACTTGAACTCCTAGAGTTGGATGATACGGTCTCAACAGAGAGGTCCCGGGCCTGGGCTTTGTCGGGGCTGAGTTCACTTTTTTAAAAAGTAAGTATACTGACAGGTGCGGTGGCTCATGCCTGTAATCCCAGCACTTTGGGAGGCTGAGGCGGATGGATCACCTTGAGGTCAGGAGTTTGAGATTATCCTGGGCAACATAGTGAAACCCCGTCTCTATAAAAAATACAAAAAAATTAGCTGGGTGTGATGGTGGGCACCTGTAATCCCAGCTTCTTGAGAGGCTGAGGCACGAAAATTGCCTGAACCTGGGAGGCGGAGGTTGCAGTGAGCTGAGATCATGCCACAGCACTTCAGCCTGGGCAATAAGAGCAAAACTTCAACTCAATAAATAAATAAATAAATAAATAAATAAATAAATAAGTATACTGATTTAAAAAGCTGATATTCATGGATGGGCATATTATCTCTTCAAATTACAGGCAGCAAGGAAGGACAAACTTAGATCCCTCTGCCAATAAAGTTATCTACAAGTTATCCTTCTGATTGAAAAACATGAAAAGACTTAACATCGTGGTTTCTATTTATGGTATTTCAGAGAACACAGTTGCTGATGTTACCATTTGGGACCCGGCGCAAGGGTACTTACTTACCTGGGCTGGGTTCTTCCCTGACTCTTGTCCCCAGGGCCAGCCCTTGTCACTGCTGGTTGGGGTAACCCCTCATTTCCTCTTGCCTCTCCAATTGAAAGCACCGCCCCCTCCACCCAGACCATTCAAAGTGATCTCTCTCTCTACAACTGGGAGTGGCTGGCCAAAATTCATCTCAGGTATGGATAGAAGGAGAAGTGCCTTGAAGTCTAGAGTATTTTTTGAGTGTGTCAATGATGGTTGCGTGGCCACAAGGAAACTTGTGCATATCTGGGGATAGCAGGCTTGTTCTCTGAGCCTAGCGTGAAAGAAGTAGTGCCCTTCAGGGAATGCCCTTGCCAAGCCATCCTTTCTGGTGGTCCGATGGGGAGAAGCTTGACAAGTCAATCTTTACAGTGGCACCATCACCCACATTCCCAGGCCCCCCATGCATGAGGGTAGGCACTGGCAGCTGCTGGGGCTCATTTTGCTAAGGTGTTGGCATCCTGGAGTATCAACAGCACAGGGAGAGAGAGGGAAGGAAGGGAGTGGGCTCAGTTAGATTATCTTTCATGAGCCGGCCTAATGCACACACCACAGAACACAAGTGGGACCCATCTGAGATCAACCACTGCAAAGAAATCAGGGGATAGGCAACTAAAGAGACAGAGACACTGGAATCTGTGATTGAGTCATTTGAAAAATAAAACTACCCACTGTCTAGACTAAATCATGTAAATTGTGCTCAGACAAGGCTAGGGTTGGAATATGTTGAAAATGTAAGCAATTAAAGGAGCGCCTGCAAGAAGACTGGATCAGATAACATTTTAGAAGTCCTGGCGCATGGTGGGCAAACAAAACAACAAAACTGTTGCTTTAAAATGCAAGGATCATACTGTGAAAAACTGGGGACACGCATGACTGTCTTTGCGCCCCAAACCTACAAGAGAGTATGTCAAAGACCATTCCAGCAAGTGAAGGCATCAGGCCTGGGGCTGGTTCTCCACAGCCCAAACCAGCCTGCCAGTGAACAACCAGGGACTGAACCTTTCTAGGACCTCCTGCAATCAGAGCTTTGCAAAGTGACTTAAATCGCTGGGGACAGGATTCAGTGATGGAGCAGTCAAACATCTTTATCTGCCCATTGAGAGGAGAAAAGTCGGAGACACGAATGGCTCTGAAAGTCAGAAGCTGAAACTGTCTGTCTGGTTTTTTTTTCCTCTTTGGATGAAGAATGGTTGAGCCCCTCAGCATGTGTCTGGAACATATCTGGGAGGCTTACTCCCTTTGTTTCAAACCCAATTTTAGCAAAAGTTGTCAACAATATATGACTATAGAAACTGGAAAAAATAATGTGGGGAGATTCACGTTTGATTTCAGAATTATCAGGGTCACAAGGATAGAGCCAGATGCTGCCCATCACATATTACATCTTTCTGAACATTCTGCAGAACCACATTTCTGCCTTTTTTCTCCGCTGTCTGCATTCCAGACACCCTCTGAGCTCACGCAGCGCACCGAGAACCTTGGGACTGTGGTCACTCTGCTGAGAAAGCAGGTCCCAGGAACTCATTGGTCACATCCGCTTCCATCAGTGTCTACAACATCTTTTGTTTCTTGGGTTAGACTTATTTTACGATAAGCAACTCACGCAGAATTCCATTCTTGCTTAAGATATGCCTCAATTAGAAATCAAGGGATCTCACCATTGTTTTTGGGGTTTTTTTTTGTATCATTTAAACAGTTCCAAAATAATTAATATGTGGTTTGATTCATTTTTGTCACTGATTCACTTATTCAGCAGATTTTAATCACTGATATGGTTTGGCTGTGTCCCCTCCCAAATCACATCTTGAACTATAGTTTCTGTAATCCCTAAGTGTCATAATCCCATAATCCCCATGTGACCAGGTGGGTGGTAACTGAATCATGGGGGCGATTACCCCATGCTATTCTAGTGATAGTAAGTGAGTGAATTCTCACAAGATCTGATGGTTTTGTAAGGGGCTTTTCCCCCTTTCCTCAGCACTTCTCCTTGCTGCCGTCATGTGAAGAAGGACATGTTTGCTTCCCATTCCACCATCATTGTAAGTTTCCTGAGGCCTCTCCAGTCCTGTGGAACTGTGAGTCAATCAAACCTCTTTCCTGTATAAATTGAGCATCTCAGGTATGTCTTTATTAGCAGCGTGAGAACGGGCTAATACAATTGCCCACCTCCCCAGTACCAGGCACTGTTCTAGGCACTTGATACAAGTGAGGAACACAATCGACTTGGCCCCGAGCCTTAGGACAGTTGCAAATCCTTGCTACTTACGGTGAGGTTCTTGGCCCAGCCACAGGGGCCTGGGGGGAAGCTTGTTATCAGGGCTGACTCTCAGCATCCCTGATTCCAAGACGCACAGCATCAGAATCTGCGCCATTCCCAGATGATTCCTACGCACAGGAGGTGTGAGAAGCACTCATCCCGAGAGTTTTACAATTCCCCGTGAAAAAAAATTCATGGAGAAATAAGCTTCCACATTTCTCAAAATTTTCATTTCTTTATGTAAGATGACAGAAAGATGTTCAGCTGCACATTTTGGAAATATTTTGAATGGATAAAGCTGGTTATATGCTTGGAGATGAAAAAGAAGAAACCTGAAAATGTTTATTCACTTTTCATTCCAGGAAGAAAAAAATCCAAGTTATTCCTCAGTCTCACAAATACGATGGCTTAAAACTCAGCACAGCCGTTTAGAATTCACCTTCCAGACGTTCCCTTGGATCTGTGACTTCCAAACAGACGGATCCAAAAAATCACCTGGAGCCTTGATAATCACACAGACTCCTGGGTGACGACAGAGGGGGCAGGCAGGTCTGAGAGTGTCCGACAGGTGTGGTGGGTAAGTCATATGACACAGCACCTTAAGGAAACATACTACTCAGTGGAAGGGGGGCCTGGGATTTGGATCTGGAAGTCAGTGCTTAGTGCTTCTTCCTCCAGCTTCATGGGATCCAACCTGAGCATCCTACTGATGGTGCAGTGAGAGGGGACACCGGGCTGTGCTGTGATGGTGACTTGCACCTGTACCTCCTACCTATCCACTGTCAGAGCCAGCTGTCCAAACCCCCATGATGGTGGCTTCACCCCCTGACTAGCAGCTCTCCAATTTGAATGTGCATTAGAATCACCCAGAGGACTTATTAAAACAGACCACAGGACCCCACCCCCAAAGGGCTCAAGCTTGAGCCAGTCTGGGTGGAGCCCAAGAGCCTGCACTTCTAACAGTGACTTTGCTGCTGCACTGCAGGTGGGGGCCATGCTAGGAGAGTCACCGCCCTAGGTTTTCAGAGTTACACTGGAAAATGCTCTTCTGTCTTTTCTTATTTTCAGAACTGACTTCAACCACATCTTAATCTAACAAAAGTGGTGCATACAGCCAGCGTGTGGCCTGACTGCAAACATTAGAGAGACTGAGACTCCTTTCCATCATTCTAGACAGATGGTTCCCAACCCTGCCCCACCCTGTCACAGCCTGCAGAGGACCTCGTGACCCCCAGTTCTACAGAGCTCTCTCCTGTCATAGACCCCTCTTCTGTACACACAGCAGTTTTGCAGTGTCTGTGAGGACCTGTCTTTAAGGCTTGCCTCTCCTCCAGCTGTGAAAACTCCCCAGGGGCAGAGAAGGGTAAGCCTTGGCAGGTGTCCTATCTGAATGACTGGGGTTGATTCATCCCCCATGGGAGCGTGGAGCAGAGTGTGATGCAGAAGCATCGCAGGCTCCCATGGCCATCATCGGGCTGGTCATCCCACAGCCACCCAATCTTCCAGTGCCTTCGTAAGCCTCTTGGTCTGCGTCCCTCATGGGGGTACACAGCACTGCCCAGCTGTCTACCCGGGGCCTGATGCTAGTCCCAGGTGAGCCCAGCGGCTCTTGCCAAGACTGTTGGATTTGGGAAATTGGATGTGGAAAAGCATCAACGCAGTGTCCAGGGGATAGTTCTCCCCGAGGTCCTGCAAGCAGGGCCTTTTGGTCATCTTAGGAC